TAGCTCAGTGGTTCTGTCGCCTGCCTTGCAAGTGCAAGGTCCTGAGTTTGATCCCTGGTTTAAAAAAAAAAAAAAAAGTCAACATTTTTTGGTTTCAGCCACATGCTTGAAGATTGATGCCTGCAAGTAACTTCATTCTATCCAACTGTCCAACTTCTTGTTTTTAATTAATTAATATATCATGGGGGATCGTCCACTTTAATGGATAGGAATCTACCTCCTTCCATCAGACAGATTGGATTCCATCCTATGGATAGATTGCATTTTTTTCTTTTTTCTTTTTTGGTACCAGGAATCAAACTGGGGGACTTGCACTTGCCAGGCAGATGTTGTGCTGCTGAGCTATATTCCAGGCCTGGACAGATTCGGTTTCTAATCTAATTAGATTAGAAATTCTCCTATTCATATGGACATTTAAGCTGTTCCTAGACTTTGTGGTTCTTCTTACAAATAATGATGCAATGTAAATCTTTATATGTAAAACTCTAAGTATGGTTTTGAATGTACCTGTACGTCGAACTACTAGAAGTAGAGCTGCTGAGCTAAAGTGCATATTCATTTGAGATCTTGTCAGAGATGGCGAAGTTCCCTCCAAAGAAGTTGCCTCAATTTAGATCCCCATCAACAGAGAACATGCTTGTCCTATCAGTGTTCTCAAACTTGATAATCTTTGCCCATACAATAGGTTTCACTCGTCGTTATTTATTTTCCTGTTGTATGTATTAGTCTGCCCCGGCTGCTGTAACAAAAATCTCATAGGGGGTGGCTTCAACAGCAGGAATTTATTTCACATAGTCCTGGAGGCCAGGAAGTCCAATGTCAAGGTTCCAGCTGGTTTGGTTCCTTGATGGGGATTGTCCTCCTGACTTAGGGCTGTTTCCTTCCTATGTCCTGACATGGTGATGGTGAGGGGGAGTTGGGGAAGGGAGACAAGAGAGGAGAGAGAGAGAGGGAGAGGGGCAGAGAGGAGAGCCTGGTTTCTCTTCCTTTTCTTAGGACACCGATTTCTTCACTGGGATGTGACCCTCATGGCCCCATCTAAATCTCATAAGCCCCCAAAATACCATGAGCCCGTGTGTTGGGGCTTCGCCATTTCAATCTGAGAGGACACACCCTTCAGCCCATAGCACCCATGAGCTACCCTTTCACACCCTTCTGCCTATGAAGACTCTATGGAGTCTTCCTTGTCTTACTGGTTAAGGATGTTTCATAAAAGAAGAAAATTAGCAGTCTAGGGTGCCTTTTGGAAGCACCTCGGGTTTTCTGCTTCAGTCTTTACACGTCACGTGTGGCCTGGGGCAGAGACAGTGTGCCGACAGGTTACAGTGCTTGAACTGCAGTTATTTGTCTCATGATTTATTCTTTGGTCTTGTGTTTGTCACAGACTAAGAGAAATCCTGTTTGCTAGTCCTAATTTCAGGAATTTACGTTCTCAAAACACTTGCAAGTTTCCCTATCTGGATCTTGCTTTGAAGAGAATGTGTTGACTGTCAGCAAAAGGGAGAAAGGAAAGTTACTAGGAGCACTGAGAGGGAGAGGGGTGCTGGGCCACAGAACCAGGAGCTTCATGGCCCAGTCTTCCTCCCTTTACTTTTCCTTTTGTTTCATTCTTTCTCCCTTCCTGTTTTCCTTTCTTTCCTTCCTTTTCTTTCTGTTTTGCTGCCTCTTTCCCCCTTTATTTCTGGCTGCATACTATAAAAATACAGTTCTGGTGTTTGCGGTCGGATTCCCACCATGGGGACTCTGCTGGAATTTCAAGTCACTCACCATAATTGAACTATAAATTAGAGAATTCTTATGAATAGAATAGGATGGAATGTGGTTTCATGTTTTCTTTCCCCAGGGACCCTGCTCAACTTGGCAATAGGAAGCTAAACTGGGGAGGGATTAGTTCTAGGAAGTGGGGTTTTTAGTATAGCTGCATGTCTAATCCAAATATTACGGACGTGTCTTAGTTATCTCTGTTACTGAGAGATCAGGACGGGGAGGATAACTTGAATCCCAAATGTGCCAGAAACATTTTCCACCTTGCTTCATGTATCGCATTTTTCCTTCCACTAGAAAAACTATAACAGTGGGTTTATTCATACTAATTTTCACCTTGCAGTTTTCCACCAGTATCGCAAGCAGGATGTATTGTGCTGCAGAAAAATAAAACAAAACAATAAAAAGTAACCCTACATGCATCGGGGTAAAGAGCTCAGTTTTAGTCCCGTCTGTGCCTCTCACAGCCTGAAATCTTGGCAAGCTGTAGCTCTTAAGGCCTCAGTTTCTGCTTTGTAAAAGGAAGAAAATAACAACCTGCTAGGGTGGCTGGGAGGGCACTGAGGGGCTGCAGGCCATGTGACCTAGAACCAGGGCTGCCTCAGCCATGGAGCTAGTCCGTTAGCATAGGTGCTGTCTGTACAGTGCCCCGCATGGAACATAAATCATGGACTGCCGAGTGCCAGTCCCTTTCTTCCCTCCGTTGGCCCAAAACCCCCAATACACTCTATTATTTAAACAAACTACTGCAAACTTGATAATTTAAAAAAACAGTTGCATTCCCTGTGCAGTTTGGGACATGTTACCAGAGCCGGGTTCTTTCTAAAATTCCTGCAGGAGAATCCTTCCTTGCCGCTGAGTTTCTGGAGGCCCCAGACACTCCTTGGCTTGTGGGAACATCGCTGCAGTCTTCTCAGTAAGTCACTAAGTGTGTCTTATAAATTTATAAGGATTTAGGAGCCAGGTGTGGTGGTACGTACCTCAGAGGCTGAGGCCGCAGGATCACAAGTTCAAGGCCAGCCTGGGTTACATAGCAAGACCCTGTCTCAAACACAAACAAGAACAAACACAAAACGAAACAAAAGGATATAGGGGCCACTGTATAATCTAGGATGATCTCATCTCAAGATCCTTAACTTAATTACATTTTGAAGGAACCTTTTGCCAAATATGATCAGACTCACAAGTCCTGGGACTCAGTGCATTGAAAAACCTTTGGAAAGTGTCACTGCCATTCAACTCACTCAACACACTTGAGGTATAGACTGTATAGATCAAGACCTGACAAGGCATATTTTCCCCCCAACCATTCACCTTTACTTTAATATTAATAAATCAGAGTGGGTCAGAGAGAAGAAAGAAAATTGTGCTTGTTTTATTTATTTATTTTTTTTATTTGAGACTGGGTCTTGCTGTGCAGTCCAGGCTGACCTTGAACTCACTATATAGCTGAAGTTGGCCTCGAATCGGCAGCGACCCTCCTGCCTCAGCCTCCCAAGTCCTGGGATTATAGGTGCATACCGCCATGCCTGGTTTTGTCTTGCTTTTAGAAGCAGGTGATACACCTCTTTCCCAGATGCCCACCATAACAGGGATCTACAGTGGAAGTTCTCATGCCTGCTTGAGGTCAGAATGGCAGCCTTGGGGTTGTGATCAGCAGTCACCCAGAATATACCTGTGTCTGTCTTGTACTTGCTCTGACCCTATCTCTAGCTGGCTCCCCCCATATCACTGGTGATGTTGCTTAGCCTCTCTCCAAATGTAGCTCCCACAGACTGGCTGTCTGAGAGTGGCTGTAGACTGCCACCGAATTATCTTGGCGGGGGGGTCCCATTCCTTCGGTGGATGCTTGTTTGCTTCTTGGGTTTCCCGGGCTCGCTCACCTTCCTGTGCTGATCATTTGCGGAACCTTCCAGAACCCAGCTGAAGCAATAAAGGGTCACTCTGCACTAGACAGACTGTCCTCGAAGGAAGGTGACATCAAGGACCTCTGGGGCCAAACAGTGCTGCCCAAAGCCAGTGCTTAAAAAGTAAAAGCAGAGATGATCTAGGGACATTTTTGCACTGTAGTTAGAAGTTCATGGTTTGGTGGAAAAACACGCACTGCAAGGAAAGTCACAGAGCTGCTCAGGGTCCCTGGGGAGTGTGAACATCGGAGGACAGGCTCAGGAACAGCTGTCTTCTGGGACAACAGCAAAGGAGCCAGATGTGCAGGGATTCGGAGCAGGGGACATCTGGACGTAGACCCTGCTGTGAAGTGCCTGGGCCAGGTCACATGATGTCGCCAGAGGGGACCACAGCACAGGGCTGTGGGTCTCTGTGAAAAGACCAGTTAAAGGAATGAGGGTGTGGGGTCTCTCTGGATAGAACTTGTAAACTTCTGACACTTTCCACCTCTTTGATTCATACGGATGCAGGAAAATCACCTTGGTGTTCAGTAACAAGTGTTTAGTGCAAGCTCTCTGCTGTCACTAAGGACCTCACCTAAGACCCCTCACTGCCCCATGGAAAGGTGGGTGCCAGTGCTTTCCTCACGGTAGGCTCTGAAACTTCCCAGGTGCACTGCCAGAAGTGGTGGCAGGAGTGTGATCACGGGCAGCCGGCTGAAAGCTGTGGTGCCCACTGCCTCTACTGCAGGGGGACATGGGGCTCTCCTTCCCTGCAGCGCGAGAACTCCAGCTGTCCGACCTGAGCTGGAGGATAAGTGGGACTCGGGTCTTCAGTGGCACAGTACCAAAGTCAGGGCTACTTTGGGACTTTTCTGGGTCCTGGGCTCTTCCGGCTTTGTGGGCCCCTTCATATGTTATCTATATAGGCAGAGAATGATGAAAATTCTATTTTATAACCAAGATGGTGTAAAGACGACTATAACCCTGCCTGATAGTCACTTTAGGTCACCTTGCTGTTTTCATTTTATTTATTATGTTTTGGTACTGGGGATCCAACTTGGGACCTTGCACTTGGAAGGCAGGCAGAGGTAAAACCACTGAGCTAAATCCCCGGCCCTACTTTTTATTTTTTGAGACAGGATCTCGTTATGTAGCTGAGGCTAGTCTTGTACTCTATATAGCCCAGACTGGCCTGAAAGCGATCTTCCTGCCGCAGCCTCCTGAGTGCTGGGATGTCAGAAGTGCTCCCCCACGCCTGGCTACTTCTGGTCCTAGCACAGCCCCTGTGCCTGCCCGCTCTGCCCTCCGTCTGGGTCCTGCTTCCCTAACGGTCCTCTGTCTCCGCAGGTCCCGCAGCGGATGGAGGCAGAGGGCGGCCCCGAGGACGGCGGCGCTGCCCCTGGGGTGTGGGGCTCCTGGGGGCCCTGGTCCGC